ATGGAAGGGTTGGAGAAAAACAGAAATCATCAGGTTAGTGAGAGTCAGATCAACCATCTCCTCTTTGAGAGCGTGAGAAGGTGAGGAGTCTTACAGCTGAACAGGAGAGTAGAGGTGAGCAGTAGCAGAAGGCCCATCCTGTCTGAGGAACTCCTGGTGCTGTTGGCTGTCCTTCAGGTTAAAGAGACTAGAGCTGCCTTTCCTACGGGCGCCGTGTCTTAACTTTTGTGCACGGTGAGGATTGACCAGGATCTGGTGGGTGGCAGCAGACACTGAGGTGGTGCTTTACCTCACCCAGTGGCGGCAGTTATCAGTCCAAGCAGCATCGACTTGGCTTAATTTGACAGGAAGTGAGTGTTGTTTCCTCAGGATGTTCGCGCCGCCTGGCTCTTTGCTGTTGTGGAATGTTCTCCTCCAACATGCAGTGTGTGGGTTTGTGTATTGAAATGGTAATGGCAGTGATTCTGGACTTTCAACCTGTGACCCCTACATGCAGCAGAATGGCAGCTTCTTTGAGATAACACTTTCTCTCAGACATTTTCATATTTAGAGGCAGAAACATGACATAGAAGTGACATAAAAAAAAAAAAAAAACCTCCATTTGTATAAGAAGATCCAGCAGATTTATATGCTATATACCAGCTTTTCTGTACGACACAGACGATGATTCAAGCTAACCTCTAAAAGAGTTAAGGATCTTTTCCATTGGAGCCTCCACTCTGCCAGGACACGGTTCTCCATATGGATTTTTGGTAATATCACATCTCAGCTGCTTTCTTGAGCCCAGGATGTCTCCCAACATTAACAATAAATCCTTTGCAGATTTCAAAGCAATATTCTGTTAATAGACAGACATCTGTATCTTGGGCATACCTTACTAAACTTTTCAGTGTATGGTTTACAGATAGACAGCTTCAAGCACATCAGAGAATTGGCTCTCTTTTTTTTTTTCCTCTTAAGAGATTAAAGCAATAAACAAAAAGGACATCAGTGTGAGGATCTGTGTAAGCTTAGATTTGGTATTTTTTTGGAGCAACAAGTAAAAAAAAAAAAAAAAGTATAATCTTTTAAAGCAACTTCTTCAGGCTTCCTGATGTTTTTCTTTTAGTTTTTCTTTAGGTCTAGCTAATTTTTGCTTTAATTTTATTTTCTAGTTGTTGACGGTTCTATATGAGATTTCTTTATTTCTTCACAAAACCAACTGATCTAAATATTAAGCAATCAGAGAAAAAAATAAAACTACAGTTTTCCTACCCAAATCAGTCAGGTAAAGAACTGATTAAAATTAGATTTAAAGCTGTTAATTTCTTGTCATACCTTTAGTGTCATGTTTTGATGGAGGTTTTCTACTTTTAGGGAGACAATTACAGCTAATGAGCATTTATGCTGCACAATTATATTTGCCTATCAGCTTGAGAGCAACGTAATATTTCTTTCGGGCAGTGTTTTAAAAGAAGCCTTTAACTACAGCAATGATGCAAGAACATAAACCTAGTTTTTGGATTCATGACAGAATATCAAATTTTTTTGTAAAAACCTAAAGCTCTTCAAAGTTTATCTAAACCCCATTGATGGGAAACAGAAAGGCCTCAGAACCAGTGCTATACAACAATTGATCAGACGATTAGGTTGCATCAGAAAAGTAACTATTTTCACTAATATATGAAAAAACAATTTGCATAACAATAAACTTGGAACAACACTGACGCTCTGCACAGGACGGGTGAGAACAGATTTTACCTACTGAGACAGAAATCTTTAAGGGAGCAGGGGAGGATCCTGATGACCTTGCTTAGCTCTGTCATCACATCAACAATCTTTGATAGTTTGGTATGTTGGAGCAGCAGATTATTTGCAGCTGAGATGAAATAGTTGGAGGTTTACCAGGATGATCAGGCCTGTCCAGATGATCCCAGGACATTGTGCAAGTGGTGGGAAATGGGAGGACAGTGAAAGAATAAATAGTCACTGTTGGATGATACTCTTTGCACGATGTTGTTAAAGGAGAGCTCCTTCAGTGAAAGACTGCTGCACCCTTGGTGTACAAAGAAACAACCTTTGCAAAAATTAGACAGACATGCAAAACACTTGCAAAGAACATGCAAAGAAAAAAAAAAACATCAGCACATGCAAAGGAAAAAACCGTGCAAAAGATGCTGCAATCACAGAAAATAGGGAGCAGGAAAGTGCAAATATGTGGCAAACATGAATAATGCCAACAGACGTGAAAAGGGAAATGCTGCATGGTGCTTCAGGCCATTAGGGTTCATGTGGAAGCAGATCCTTGGTAAAGACATGAACAGGATTCAGGGTCTGATCTTCAGAGAGTCCAATGAAAAGGCTCTAAGTTGCCTGTGAAAATGTTAGTATGTGCAATAAGTTGGCGTGTTGCAGGTGAGCTACAAAGATTGCTGCGCAAATGTAAACAGATTTTGTTCCACCCATTAAACCTTTTTCTAACTACCAACACAATTTGGATAGGAATCACTGCTCTCACTGAAGCAATTGCCATTTAGAGCAGGTGTCCTTAGTTTGCATTATTCAGAATCACTGTGAGCCTGTCCTGGTAGCACNTTTTTTTTTTCCTCTTAAGAGATTAAAGCAATAAACAAAAAGGACATCAGTGTGAGGATCTGTGTAAGCTTAGATTTGGTATTTTTTTGGAGCAACAAGTAAAAAAAAAAAAAAAAGTATAATCTTTTAAAGCAACTTCTTCAGGCTTCCTGATGTTTTTCTTTTAGTTTTTCTTTAGGTCTAGCTAATTTTTGCTTTAATTTTATTTTCTAGTTGTTGACGGTTCTATATGAGATTTCTTTATTTCTTCACAAAACCAACTGATCTAAATATTAAGCAATCAGAGAAAAAAATAAAACTACAGTTTTCCTACCCAAATCAGTCAGGTAAAGAACTGATTAAAATTAGATTTAAAGCTGTTAATTTCTTGTCATACCTTTAGTGTCATGTTTTGATGGAGGTTTTCTACTTTTAGGGAGACAATTACAGCTAAAGAGCATTTATGCTGCACAATTATATTTGCCTATCAGCTTGAGAGCAACGTAATATTTCTTTCGGGCAGTGTTTTAAAAGAAGCCTTTAACTACAGCAATGATGCAAGAACATAAACCTAGTTTTTGGATTCATGACAGAATATCAACATTTTTTGTAAAAACCTAAAGCTCTTCAAAGTTTATCTAAACCCCATTGATGGGAAACAGAAAGGCCTCAGAACCAGTGCTATACAACAATTGATCAGACGATTAGGTTGCATCAGAAAAGTAACTATTTTCACTAATATATGAAAAAACAATTTGCATAACAATAAACTTGGAACAACACTGACGCTCTGCACAGGACGGGTGAGAACAGATTTTACCTACTGAGACAGAAATCTTTAAGGGAGCAGGGGAGGATCCTGATGACCTTGCTTAGCTCTGTCATCACATCAACAATCTTTGATAGTTTGGTATGTTGGAGCAGCAGATTATTTGCAGCTGAGATGAAATAGTTGGAGGTTTACCAGGATGATCAGGCCTGTCCAGATGATCCCAGGACATTGTGCAAGTGGTGGGAAATGGGAGGACAGTGAAAGAATAAATAGTCACTGTTGGATGATACTCTTTGTACGATGTTGTTAAAGGAGAGCTCCTTCAGTGAAAGACTGCTGCACCCTTGGTGTACAAAGAAACAACCTTTGCAAAAATTAGACAGACATGCAAAACACTTGCAAAGAACATGCAAAGAAAAAAAAAAACATCAGCACATGCAAAGGAAAAAACCGTGCAAAAGATGCTGCAATCACAGAAAATAGGGAGCAGGAAAGTGCAAATATGTGGCAAACATGAATAATGCCAACAGACATGAAAAGGGAAATGCTGCATGGTGCTTCAGGCCATTAGGGTTCATGTGGAAGCAGATCCTTGGTAAAGACATGAACAGGATTCAGGGTCTGATCTTCAGAGAGTCCAATGAAAAGGCTCTAAGTTGCCTGTGAAAATGTTAGTATGTGCAATAAGTTGGCGTGTTGCAGGTGAGCTACAAAGATTGCTGCGCAAATGTAAACAGATTTTGTTCCACCCATTAAACCTTTTCTAACTACCAACACAATTTGGATAGGAATCACTGCTCTCACTGAAGCAATTGCCATTTAGAGCAGGTGTCCTTAGTTTGCATTATTCAGAATCACTGTGAGCCTGTCCTGGTAGCACGTAGATTCCATCCAGTCTAACCAACCAAGAGGCAAAAGTTGTCCCCTAAAGACCTCCTCCTCTGAAAAATAAGGTAGTAATGCAAACAGAAATGTAAAGAGGACAGAAAAAAATAGCATTTAGGAAATATATAGGATAAAAAAAAAAGGAGAAAAATAAAAATATTAAGTTTAAACAGAAAAATATACATTTAATAATAATGATAAAGTAGTTATTGTAAACGTGAATAATACAAAAGCTTAGAAAAAATATTTATGCCTTACTATACATTTTTATTATTTGCTGCATTTGTTATGCTTTTTATTGTATTTATTGAGCATCTATATTTATATCTCTATCATTGTGTCAGAATTGCACTTAATGTTGGAGCTGCACATATGAGACATTCTCTTGGGATTCTTTGACATTCGTTCAAATGTAGCTGATTTGATGTCTGGTTCTGCTGGAGGTTTCTTCTTGTTAAAAGGGAGTTTTTCCTCTCCACTGTTGCTACAAGCATGCTTAGAGGGAGGATTGCATTTAAGTCAATGAGTCGATGCAATCAACTGGTTTTCCTTAGATAGAAAACTTTGAATCAATTTGACCGTATGATCTGGATCAAGTGCCTTGAGATGACATGTTGTGAATTGGCGCTATATAAATAAACTGAATTGAAATAAAACCTGTTCGGTGGAGATTCTTTGACAAGACAGGTTTTTTTCTGAAGCTTCATCACAGCAGCTTTAACATGATCCACTTTCATATATGATTAAAAATCAAAAATAAGGAAACAATTCAGAAAGAGTCAGGGTTGTATTTGGTTTATTTCATCAATTTCATTTCTCCTTTTATAAACCAGTAAAGATGTCTACAGTCACAGACAAACCTGATTGTATTTCACTTTTTTACTATCATGTTCAAGTCTCTTTTTTTTTTCCTCCCAAGGTTTAAAATCCTAAAACCCAAAGCACAATAATTAGAGATGAATATAGTAATACTTTATTGATGCCTTGTGAACCAAAGAGCACTGAAGCAGTGCAATGCTATAGTTTGGTGGTCGTCATGACTGCTGGCTCTTAAGTACGTCTTTTGCAGTGAAAAGTAAACTCGCAGTCGTGTTGCAGGAGGGGATGGGGTCGTGTCTATGGAAAACTGAGGCTGAGCTAAACAAGATGCAAAAGGAAGCAATTCAAAAACAAATTATAGCGACAAAAATAAAAGAAGCTAAGAAGGCAAAGCTGCGGCCCAGAGGAAGAGGCACATTGTTGGTGAGAGGGCACCACAGAAAAAAAACTAACCTCAGAGTAAACACACTCATCTCAACAACATGTGACTAACCTGAGCATCTTCACTGCTCTGAGATCAGCTGTTTGAGGTGGTTTCATTAGATTCCTGAGTGAAATCAAGGGTCGTTTCCCTGTGATCTCTACTGTACCTGTGTTGAGTCATAACTTTATTTCTGGTTTCCCACTTTCTTCATCTCTGAATGCGTTTGATCAGGTGACACTGACTTAATAAAATGAAAATATCTACCTAACAAACCAAATTTCCCGTTTTCTCGTTTAAAAGCGTTTTCCGGTGCTATATGCCTGGGTTACAAAGAAACTTACCATGCTTCCCTTCTAACGGGTGTGATTCCAAACTCCTTCAAGCATCCTGTTAATGAGCCACAATTAAATAATGCAATTTGAACCCTATGCAGCTAAAAATTACAGGCCTATCATTAAAATATGTAAAACCATCTTGAAAAGGCGGAACAACTCATTTCTTGGGACCACAGTGCTTTAGGATGCAGAAGTTCATCTCGCAACCAGAGAACTTCACCTGTATTAATACTAATGGTGGTCAGAGGCCCTGATGGTGCCTCTGTGTGCCCCAGGGAAGCAGTGGCTACACTACAGCTGGCCACCATCAATGTGGGAGTAAATGACTAAATCTAGTGTAAAGTGCTTTGGAGTCCCCTGACTTAAAAAGGCAATATATAAGTACAGGTCATTTACCAATTCTTTTTAAGAGAAAAAAGATCTTTAATAAATTATAGCATTAGCTCTCTGTCACAGAAACTGCTCTAAAGAAAGATATCTGGGAACATTTTCATGTCAACTGACTCTGGTGCATCCGCTGTAAGGGTTCTCTTTACAGCAAGTCCAAAATCAGGACATTTTCCCACGTGTCTTATCATTTCTATGCTGATGATGTGCAGCTCTACTGTTCTTAAATATTTAATGCTTTACTTCTACTTTAGCAGTTTTAATGATAACTGCTAGAAGGTGAAATTAAACAAGATTAAAAACGTATTTATTGTCCATGAGAAATTACTGAGATCAAACAGCATTTGGTGTATTGGCTTTCATTGTCAGAAACCTTTTTGTAAGCAAAGATATTTTCTAAGTTTTAAAATCTGCTCTAATAGAGCGTCGAGCATCGAAGCGTCAAACCAACTTGATCAGAGTTCGATCGTGTCCGACCCGGTGTCCAGATTTCTGCATTTTACTGTTTCTGACGCCCATAAACGCCTTCAGTGTGAACGCGGCATAAGTTTGCCAATGGTTTCAAGAACACATTTTAAGACCATAGGGGGTAAAACCCTTTATAGCAGCGGCCCAACGATTGTAAAAACATATTTATCCTCTACCTTTCTTAATTCTGTTGATATTTTTTAAAGAAGTGGATTAACTTTTTTTAACTATTAATTCAAACCTAGTTTTATGCTGTATGATGTGACCCGTGTACTTGCTTTATCTCGTCTTTGTCTATTTAGGCCAGCTTTTTTAAAGCACTTTGAGGGTTTTGAGCTATGGCAGGTGCTAAAAAAAAGGTTTCGTCACTAAAGCACAGACTCATGTGGCTATAAACAGGCAGCTAACATAAATCACAGTCGTAACAAAGGAAGCTGGAGCTCAGAAATAACAAATAAAGTTCTTCCAAAAGCAGGAGAGAAGGTGGGGTTTCAAGAACAGAGTACTTATGCAAAGCATTTTGTTGCTGTTTTGGTGAGAGATTTGTTTATATTAATAAATAGAGCTTAGAGAGTGACAGGGAAGTAACACCTAATGTCCTTTCTGCCATTGAGGGTAGCACTGACAGCTGGTGAAAAGAGAGCAGTGCAAACTAAGATTGAATGTATTTGTATTGCTGAGCTTAAGCAGGGGCAGCAAACGCAGCCTTATTGCATTGCACGGCAACCAGGTATTAAGCCACCTCCAGGTGGGTGTGGATGAGAGTGAAAAAAACTTGAAATGTGCAGTGAATTGGTGGATTATTCTGATTCTGTTTGGCACACTGGGTCAGGTGTCCTTTTGAACTATGAGGGTTCACACTGGGGCACATCTATGATATACAACACAAACACAGGAAAATAATCCCTCTTAACCTTTGTCACACGAGAGAGAGATCAGTCTATCACCACCGGGTTAGTCCTTTTAAACCTCCAGGGAGTAAAGCTGCATCTCTTTGCGGTGAGTCTGGATCTGATACGTGATCATAAACACATGAGGGGGTCCAGCGCCAGCGGGCTGGTATTAGTCCATGTGTCCGGTTTCAGTGGGTCTATTTCAACACTGTGTGACCCCACTGTGGGCTTGTGTGGGTGATGGTTCACAGTTCATTCAGGTAGTGATGGTTGCTGTGCAGCCAGGAAGAGCTGCAGGGAGCCATGTGTGGGGCTTCTTTAAAATAGAACCTCTTCTTCTACTAATTATATACACACAGAGTCCTCAGCACAGCCAAGCCTACAATCATTAGCCTCATAATAAGAATATGAATAAACAATCATCATCATAATAATTATTATATATATATATATATATGTATAGAGACATTTGTAGCATGAGTTTTTGTCAGCAGCTATCACTTGAACATTCACGGAGGTGAATTGCATATGTACAAAAAACAAACATCCTTTACATCCAAGTGCTCGAGGCTCAGGGTCTGAATTCATGAGTGTAGGGGGGTGAGGGGTAGGAGAAAGAGGAGCTGTGCTGGTGTGTTATCTGAGCCTCTTCTCTGCTGAATAGATGGACATGTAGTAGTCGTTGCTTCCAACAGCCAAGTGGGGCTGAAAGGGAAACAAAACTGAGGATTAAAAACATGTTTGCATGTATGAGCATATAACAAGGTAGAAAGAAGAGAAATAAAGAAAACATTTGATGAAAAACAAAATGTACCTGAACAAAAAGTCAAATTCATAATGGTTAGATCAATTGATACAATAGCTTCATTTCCATTGCAAATGTTTTGCAAATTAAATAAATGCAAATATCCACAATTGCATAATTTCCATTAAATTACTCCATCTTCCTCTGTTTATCTGGGGTCGGGTCGCCGTGCTGATAGCCTCAGTAGGGAGGCCCTGACTTCCCTTTCCCCAGCTACTTAGGCTATCTCCTCCAGGGGAATCCCATATTCCCTCCAGCGTGTCCCGGGTCTCCCTCTGGGTCTCCTCCCAGTGGGACGTGCCTGGAACACCTCACCAGGGAGGCGTCCAGGAGGCACCCTAACCAGATGCCCAAGCCACCTCTACTGGCTCCTTTCGATGTGGACAAATCATTGAAGCGTAAAAACTTGGTTGTAGTGTTTCAGTTTGTTAAAGTATTTGTGCAAAAATAATTTGTGCAATTAGATGGTTCATGGAAACACTCCTACAAAAAAAAAAAAAAGACTGAAACAAGACATCTAAACAAATTCCTTTTTAAATTTCAATTGCTCCCTTTTTAGATTAATATAGTATGTGGATATTTAAGAGGGTTAATCTCACAGTTGAGGCTATAACTGCATTAATAATGCTATAATAACACACTAAAATACATAAAATATTCTACATTCACACAGCAAAGATGTGAAAGGCCTCACTACAAGACAGTGATGGCAAAAAAATCATACTCAGGAAAAGAAAATCTTTTTTTTTTTTTTAGCTTTATGGTGGTCAATAGTTATAAAAATTGAGATTTAAGGAGCCTCATTGATTTTTTTATTAAAAAGTTAGCAATGGAAAGTTGCTGCTATAGCTCCCATATACATGTACACACAGAAAAGGTGATGTTTATGCCTTACCCAGTGTGGATGGAAGGCTAAACAGCTGATAGCACCGATCCTCTGCCCCATGAAGCCATCATAGTACTTTATATTGCTGATCACGTCACCGTTAGCGTTGTACACGGCTATGAACTGGTTCATTGATCCACTGCAGCCACAACAGTCAAATAAACAAAAGGTTCTCAGGTTAAAAGGAGCTTGACAGGGTTACATATGAATAGATTGTAAACTTCTCATCATAAAACGGTAGAAACTGTAGAAGCTTTGTAACCATACAAAAAAAAACTCACCAGGCGAATAGGTTGGCCTGTGGGTGTATATCCAAGGCTGTTAATCCCTTTACAGTCTGCAACACATTAATGGAGTCTGGCGTCCGCGGTTCAAAGAACCGAACATCTCCGTTAACACTGAGAGGAGGTGTTATGAGAGTCAGTGCAGCCGCGGCAAAGAGAGGGAAGTAAACATGTTAAAAGGTTTACCTGACACTGATAATGTTTCCGTCCGTCTCCTTCTGCAGGTGAGCTTTAACCACCCAGGCTCCATGTTCCCTGTAGGTCATCACTCGACTGCAGAAACATAACATGCAGACATAACAGATTATTTCCCTTTTGTTCAAGCTCAGTAAGATCTGATAAAGAGCAACTTTGAACATCAGCTTTTAAGTGTAGCCACTTATTCTTGGTTAGATTTAGATCTGGACATGGATTACGTTTTGATCCAAACCATTCTATAAAGCTCTGGTTGTATTTCTAGGTCCTGCTGGAGGGTAAACATCTGCCCCTGTTTCATGGGTTTGCTTTCTTCAAGAACTTCTGTGTTTAGTTCTTCCCAGAACTTTAAACCAGCTTCCCTGTCACTGCTAAAGGTGGGCAGATGTATCTAGGGTGGTATCTAGCAAATTGTTTACCAGGATTTGAATTATGTAATTCTCTGAAGTGAGAAAACACAAATGCTAATCAAGCTTTTTGAGTCATTTTATACAACTTTCTGTAGATCAATCTTTATCTTTGGTCTATGAGAGCAAGGTGGTGCATTAAAAAAAAAGAATACAGCATTACATAAAGCTTAAACTAAGCTCTATACATTATAGTTTCTTAATGTATCAGGCAGTAAAGGCAGGGCGCCACATGATGGCAGTGTGCCTTCAGGGTTGAAGCATCCAGCCTCAGCCTTCCTGTGAGAGAGCAAACTGAAATGTGCCTCATCACGACTTTGGTGCTGTTCAGAATCTGAATTACTAAATCCATACAGTGAAACAGCATTATATAAATTATGGATTGCAAAACTACAGCGTCTCAACCGTAAAAACAAAGCATACAGAGACTCCTATTAAACCAACAATAGAAAAAATAAAATGCTGAGAAAGTATAACGTAGCAGGTTATGCTGTAAAACAAAGGTGTGTTTAAGATTTCTTCCAACGCATCTCATGTTTGACCCCTGTTAGCTTAACTTAGCAGGAGAAACATAACTCCTGAGACATGTTACTGCGGGCCTGAGGGAACCATTACATTTACTTTCTTTCCTAAAGATTTATTGGGCTTTCAACATTTTAGCTGCTTTTTTGTCGCCCTCAGGGACTGAAATTAAAATAATGTTTTAGCAGCTGAGGGAGGAGTCTGTGTCGCCACGGTCCATTAAAAGAAGTGACAACCCCAGAGGCAGATTCACAGCACTTTAAGAACAATAAATATAGATTGGTGAATAATGTTAGATTCAGAGGGAATAAATGTGGACAAAAGCTACCACGTCTCCTCCGCCTTGAACTGAAATAAAAAAAGCGGCAGTTTTTTCTTTGAAAGGGAGAGGATATTAAGTCATAAATCCTGATTAAATAATTTGAGGAATCAATGGCGTGAAAATACTAGTGAAAGGGATTGTTTTACCATTCACTCGGGCCCATCCTGCGATCAAACACGCGTACCGACCCGTCACCCAGACCAGCTACGATGAGCGAGCGCTGCGAGTCGCAGGACAGGCTGGTCACGCAGCTGTCAGCACCTGTAGGGATGTCCTGGTTCCCCAACACACACACACACACACACACACACACACACACACACACACGCACACACACACACACACACACACACAGAGAGAGGTCCTTCTGTCAATCTTTCAAAAGGTAACACAAATTTTACGCTAACCTTTCATTATGAAATCATCAATCATGCCTACAAAATTATTTGAAGTTGGACTCAGTATGTAGCGACAGGTCATTTGTACTATGAAGTCCATCCATCATAACAATAATTAGCAAACTGAGGTCTGTTAGATCCGTTAAATTGAAGAAATCAAACTTCTACATAGACTGGATCTGGTTTATCAAGTATAAGGAAGGAACGATACGACAGGAAAAAAGGGAATAGAAGATGGAATGGCACAAAGAAAGATGGAGAGACAAGATAAAAGAGTTTAAAAAAGAGCAGGAAGGCCGCAAAAAAAGACGGAGACAAAAGAAACAATAGATCTATGGAAATGGGAGGAGACAAAAAGGAACAGAGGTAAAGACGAAGGAGATAGAGAAATCACTAGGAAGGGTGGAAGATAGAAAGGATGAAACAAAACCAGTGTAGAATTAAGGACGCAAGATAGAAAGAAATCATAGAAGGAAAGAAGAAAATGAGCCAGGAAGAGTAAAGATTGAGGACTAAAATAAAAAGGTAGAAAGCACATGAAGAAAGGAGCAAAAGTAGTGAATTAATAAAAAAGGAAAGACATGTTTGGATTGAAGGAACCCAGATAGGAATTAAGTTTAAAGATACAAATATTTCACTGCACAGTTTCTTTCTCCAAATTGATCCAAACCTGGAGCTTAATTTTAAATTCTAGACTTTTGTACCTTGTTTAGAAACCCTGAAAATGTGTATATACAACTAAGATAAATGGTCTCAATGAACTAGTTTGTACCTGGACTTTCATCTCTCTGTCCGTGTCCCAGATCCGAATGACTCTCACATCTCCTGACGTCATGAGGAGACCAGTTTCCTGCTCCCAGTCCACCACCATCCCAGCTCCTAAAACACATGGACGACATGGCAGCCAAAAAAGCAATTTTAAACACAAAAAACAATCCCAGACAGCACACAGCAGGGCTGCTCTCAGTTATAACACAGACAGAAGGTGAATTTTAATCACAATTAAAGAAAAAAAGCTTAAAATATTAGATTACTGAAAATAATTGGGCTACAATCTGTGGAGTGCTGCTTCACTTTGCCGTTATTAAGGCCTTTAATTTAATTCTACCTGGACCTGTGTTCTCACACAGCCGTTTTACACAAAACAGCATGTGTTCACTCCCCAAAACACAACCCGTACAATCTGTTGGAGATTTCAGAAGGCTCTCGCTGCCACATGTTGCAAGTCAAATGAAGATTAGTGCAACAGCTTCCTGCACCACTGCCTAACTAGCGCACACACACACTTACACAAAAAAGTGAGAAAAGCAGAAAATCAGCCAGATTCAGAAGTATTTAAAGAACTTAAACCTAAAAGTAACTGTTTTCGCAGAATTTTTTTCCCCCCAGCACTTTGCATCTGTCCTGCCAAAACTGATCTGAACCTTCAGACACATTTAATGTTTTGGTGACTCCTATGGTCCTCGAGTAGGAAGGCAGCAAAGCACTTCAAATACTGGCAGTCACAGCAGGAACCAAGAGCCCAATCCTAAACAAGCTCCTCTGGCTTAACATCACAGACTGAAGGCTTCAAGCTGCAGCTCACAGTACGCTGCATGAGGAAAAGGTATGTAAGAAATATCCTGGTCACTCCACAATGCCAGTGTTGGACTGTAAGCAGTGAAGTGTAAGCAGAAGGGCATTCAACAAGATTTGTAACAACATAAGAGCAAATATTCAGTTAAAGATGATATTTATACAATTCTAAAATAACGGTGGTCATTTACTCCTGCAAAAATTTAAGTATATGGAAATGCTCTATTATTTTTTATCTCACTAGTATTAAATGTTTTAGAAGATCTAGTTGTTGTTAATACCTCCTGCATATAAATTGCATTTTTTGCATAACCAACTGCAAAACTTAGGTATGTTTTTCAACCATTTATGTTATGTGGTGCCAATGAAAGCAATCACAAGCCCTATGCGTAACTAACATACATTTCTAGAAAATGATGGCATGCTTTATATGTTCTAATTTTATTAAATATGTGCAAACCTTAAAGTGACTGTATACAGCTTTAAAGAATAAATATTGTAAAACGATGACAAATGTTTGGGTATAAGTGGGTTTTAATCCTAGTAGGAGCCATCTATCCTATTCTCTTACATCAGAAGTGACAAATGAAACCCTTTAAATGTTTTTACATTTTCCTGTGAGGAGTTTGCTGTGATTATATAAGTCAGAAATGTTGTTCTTTGTCACAGAAGAGTTGGTTTGTGTTTAATTTTGAAAGACTGGTGGAATGCTCTTGGGCTCTTAGCTGCAGAGAGAGATCCCTTAAAAACACCTCTGCAGAGGGAATCTCTGCGCTTCAATCTAGAAAATCAACCTGAACAACAACAACACTCTTAAGTTCATGGACTTGCAGCGAGAGCCAGGGCAGTAACGTAAAAGTAAGTACGTTTTTACAATGCTACATGTTACACATCTGATTTAGTATTTCATATGAAAAAATGCTATTATAATATTTTCCAGACAACAACACTAGAATTGGGCTAAGACTGTTGTGAAAAAGTCAGATATGGGCTGCATATGGGAATAAGATTGGGTTTGGTTCGTATTTGGCAGAGTACAGCAATCCTTTGGGGGAAGCATATCTGAGCTGCTTAATAGGGTGGGGTTGGAACGTAAACTGCAACTTCTCTGGTAGAGAACCATGGCCTTAGAACACTCCTGTCCTCTTGCTGGTATTCAAAAAAATAAAAAAATAAATCAAAAGAAACTACATTGCTAATCATTTTCTTGCTTACCTCTCAAAAGTAAGAGATTTAATTGTCTGAATGTTGCAAAAAAAAAAAATAAATAAACATTTCAATCCTTCAGTACTACATTGGCAGAAGCGGATTGCAGAGCGTTTCTAGGATGCAGAGGTCAGAATATAGAAATATCCTTTATTGTTCCAAAGTGGGAAAATAAGGTAAATGACACAAGATTTTGCTTCACCTTCTGCATGGTAAATTTTGTTTGTTTTTCTTTCCCTTTTTTAATACAGAAGTGTCATATATCAACTTAATGCAAAAAAATCATGGTGCATCTTAAGAGCCTATGAAATGACAAATCTAACTTGATGACATCTTTAAATTCTCTAAAGTATTCACCTTGAAAATACGCTGAGGATTAAATAACCAAGGTGTTAATTAAGAGGCTGTAGTGCAACCATGCTCAGAATAATTTCTGTATAATCTAAGAAACCAATTCAAGCACCATGGGTTTGAAAGTGTTAAAGGTGGACTTAATAGAGAGGAGTAAAATCTTTTCTAACATTCATTAGAAATTATAAAAATCCAGGGGTTTTTACCTTAAGTTTACAATGGACCAAAACTCACAACTTACAAAGCACACAAAGATGTTTTTTCATACAATGAAGTATGAGCATCAAAACTGCACTTTGTCCCCCCCAAAAATTGAAAATCTCTGAACGTTCTACCTTTAAATTCTTGCAGTTCTTGAGTCTGCCGTTTACCTACAAACAGTTTATGTTAAATATTTTCTTTTGTACGATCTCACTGATAGGTTGGTTTTACTCTTTTAAAACAGTCATAAATAAAACACGAGTCACTGCATTATTTCTATTTAAGCTAAACAAATATTGCATTGTATTGCAAATAATGCAAGACTTCAGAAATGTAAACTTCCTCTAACATAGTCAACTCATTATCCTAAAACCTTATCTTAAAGGTGATGATAAAGAAGAAGAGACTGCATACTAATAAAGTGATGTGTTACATGACTAAAGACAGAACAAAGTGCAAACCAAGTGTGTTGCAGAATAACCGTTGGTTTATTCAATGGTTTCCTCCAGAACACATTTTTACTTTTGTGTCACAGCCTCCTCCTGTTCATTTGATCAGTGATGAATTGATATTTTCTGATAGGCTTTTGGTTGAAAAAGATAAAAAGCTCAATATTTCGATCTGGTTTTCTTAAATGCAGGTAGAAGAAAGGAGGGTCAGTTGTTCCATTATATTACTGCTGTATGCTCCACATACGTCTGTTATGAGTCGTGACTTAACTGCTGAACTAAAAATGTCATGGCCCTTTATTGTTCATCTGGCCCTGAATTGTCAAAACCCAAGCCCCATGTGGCGGTGGCAGCCCTCAATGCCCCAACTGTGACGTAATCCGGCTTGCACGGGCATCACACAGCCTAAAGCATGGGCTCATGCGGAGCAAGTAGCATGCAGGGAAAAGCTTTTCACAAGACTGAGGCTGAGAGAAGAGACGAGGCATTCCCTTTGAAGCCCACAGCTCGGATGAGAGCAGAGCCGAAATACAACAACAGGGGAGGAGAGAGGAATATTAGCCAACACACAAGACACTGAGCATGCACATCTTAGATTGGTGATTTAGAAAGTTTTATCTAATGAAATGCATTTTTATATTTTCCTGTGTAATACAATGATAGAAAATCCTCTTGGGGGCTATGTGGAAAAAAAAAACTGCAATAGACGTAGAAATGTGAAGTGCTTTTAAGGACTTAGCATGTCTAGAGAAACCTTGTTAAACCTTAATGCTAACAGGTCTGTGGATGAATTGTTTAAGAGTTAAGATATCAGAAAAGAAAAAATCAAAAGGATCAGCGGTTTAAAGACCAATACAGAATATCATAGCTCCGCTAGGAGCAGAGAGATAAATTGATTGTCCCAAAGAGGGGAAATTCAACAATGAAGTGCAACAGTGACAAAACAATTTCACAGAAGAAAGCTTAGACAGAATAATAGAAAACGATATTGTAAAAGTTAAACTGTGCCGCAAAATAGAAAAACACATCAAACAAAAGTATACGTTTTGTAATGAATATATAAGGTACTAAGACTCATATTCCAGTTATCTAGGACTGGAAGTGGGTTCAGAAGAGACTCTCAGACTTCCATCTCAGCAGAAACCGCCTTTAACTGCTTTGGGGAAAGCCCAAGGGCTTCCAGAGCAATCCCTGAGAGATGGTCCCTTTGGCAAGTCCTGCGCCTCTTCCTGGTTGGACTTGTCTGAAACACCTGCTAACGTGAGGCATCCAGCGGGCATCTAGAACAGATGTCAAAGCCTTGGCTAACTGGGTAACTTGGGAACTCGCTCTTTTGGTCAGGGCCCAGATTTGCACTCGGCCTTAAAATGCTGCAAAGCATGATATACGTAGGTCTTGGCTGGTGGGAGCTAGCAGAACCACATTCCCAAAATGCAGGGACGTAGTCTGCTGGTCTCTAAATTAAATCACTTGCGGCCTTCGCTGCATCTAGAAATTTGGTCAAAAAGTTTATCAACATGACCGATCACAGAAAACAGTCCTTCCAGAGTCAAAAATTGGGAACGTGGTCAACCTTATGCTGGCAGTACAGACAAAACTCCTGCTCCGCTAATATAGAGACCAGCCATCTCCTGGTATAAGTGACTCCAAAGTGCTAGAATGACCCCACAGGGCAACACAAGGGTTATGGCTGAATGTCTTCAAACTGGTACATGTGTGAAACTGGTTTGGCAAACTCCTATGAACCTTTTAGCACCCTGCAGAGGGTGTGGAACTGGTCCAGTGTTCCATGGGCAGGACAAAAACCATGCTGCCTTCCTTCGGCCGAGGTTTGACAATAAGCAGGACTTTACTCTCCAGTACCGTCACATTGCCTTCCTTTCATCCCCATTTTTATGGAGGGAGACCACCAGTCCAGTTTTCTAATACCGCCACGCAATGCTGAAGAGGGGTGTCAGCCTTGATAGTCCAAAATCATCCAGAGACCTAAGGTACTCAGAGTGGGTTCTTTGACACCATGGAGTTTTTTTTTTCTTTTCTTACCACCTCCATAATTTCAGCAATGAACAAGTCTGTCTCTAAGCACTCAGTCTCTGT